TAGCTAAATACTCCTAGATCCTGTGAGTTGATGAATACATAATATGTAAATGTGATCGGTTCTGCATAAGCTTATGCATATTCACAGTGGTGCAGGTGCCACGAATGCCATACAGCACAAAGCCACGCCAAAGGTTGGGGTCTGGCCTGCAATCTGACTGCCTGCAGCTGGTGAGCTTCCAGTCTCACAGGCATCAGTGGCTTCATCCAGCGCGACAGGAAGCACAAGCATATAAAAATGTTTGTCCCGAGTTTGAAGTAGCTTGAGTCTGTGGCCTGGGAAGAGGAAAAAGCCTTCTACTCTCCGTTCAGATTGCATAAGGGAACCTGTGAAAGCTGATGGGTGTTAAAGTATCAACCTGTCGTGGTCTGCATTGCAGGAAGGCACTCGCTGAGCACACAGCACTGCTGCTGTATCACAGAAGGCTTTTTGTTATAGCCCAAGCTTTCTGGATGGGGTTCAGAGAAGCTGCTGAGCCATGAACAGTGCAGGTTAAGGTGACCCTAGTGTTACAGTTCATCCTCTCAATGTTTAGGCTATTTTTATCTTGTTACTGTGCAAAGTATGTGGCTTTCTAGGTGTACTTGCGTAACATGCTCTGGCGATGCAGTTTATCAATCAGGTACATTAACTGCATGAGTCTGCACAGCCTACGCTGGCTGACAACAGTGAACAACAGTCCAGAAGCTGTTCATGTGTTTCACCTGACTGGTGATGAGGCAGGTGGAGGCGTTGGGGGCCTCTTGGCAGTTGAATAACTGCTTCACTGCATAAATTTCATACATTGGTAAAAATAAACAGATTCCTGAGTAGTCGCTTAGGCTTATAGTAACTGTTGATAGCTTGCTAGCTTGACGTTGATATATGTGATTTTTAAAAGTGTTAAATAAGTATTTCCTTATTTGTGTGGTGCAAAAATGTTGCTTTTACTCAGAGGGAAAGAATATGCACAAAAGCTAGCAAAAGCAGAAGCCTGCTTTCCAATACTTAGTACTTGCTGCCAGAGGAGGAAGTGTGAAGAATACAGTGCTTCAGTGGGCACCTTCTTGGTACGGTTTGAGAATCCCTTGCTACTGTTCACCTCATGGCAAAACTAGGGCAGAAGTGTTTGCTGGGAAGCTCTCTGCATGCACGGTGGGAGAGGAGATGCTGTTTGCTACTACTTACATTTATCTGCGTGCAGTATCACCAGCTTTGACTTTTCCAGGCCGATGTGGGTATTACCCTTTAAAAAGGGAATTATGTAAGACAGGGAAGGAGGACTGTGGTGGAGGATGATAGCAAATAGGGGAAGGAATGTATGAGATCACTACTGTCCTCTAAAAAGAAGGACAGCTAGGCTATATGGCTTCTGTAAGGTAATACAGTGTGCACGGCAGCTGGGAGAACATGAAAGGCTGCGGCAATCGAATGTAAAGGTCATTCTGGGAGCAAATGACTTAGCCATGCTCTAAGCTGAGATGGTTTTGTCTCTAGAACTTTTGCTTTTACAAATGAGCACTTCGAAGTGCAAGAAGTGGTGAAGTACAAGTTTCCAGTGCAAATCTGTGCATCCTGGGAATGTGTATAAGGGATTGCCTATGTGGATTTCCAGTAAAAGTACTTCCAGGAACTTGAGCTATCCAAGCAAATCTTTTGAGTCAGCTGAGGGGCCAAAGTCCCATCGTCTTGTATGGTGCAGCACGCAGAAGAATAAAACAGGGAACAGAGGAATGCAAATATTGTACTTGCTCTCGAGACAGGCTAGCCATAATCTCAAACATGAACCAGGGATGGGAGGTGCAAAAGCGAAGCTACTGTCCCACTAATAATGTGGAATTGGTGATAAATGGAGTGAAGATCCCCAAATGAGACTAAACTGAGTGCTCAGGTTGGACTGCAATCTTATCAGCGAGTTTTTGCTTCTGTCTCTTCAGGAAGAACTTGAATCAGGCGGTATTAATGACTCTGAAAACAGCTAGAAAGGGCATATTATGATTTTGGTGTCTGGGAGCGGGGAGGAAAGAATAGGTAGTTGCTAGTCATGAGGCAGGATAACTAGCACTGCAGCAAGCAGGTCAGATTTAAAGGGTAGAGTTTCCTTTTTGAACAAGAATTTATTATTTTCACTGCATATCAGTTGCTTTCTGAAAAAAACAGAATTCAGTTTCAATGAGGAGGGACTGGAACATGTCACCTTACTGCTTGTCCTTCACAACTCTGGGGCAGGTGAGCTGCCTGGTAAGAGCACACTAATAAGCCACTTGACTGACAGAAGAAGTATCTAGAAAAATCAGTTTAGGCTTCCATGGAAACGATGTTGATGGTATGGAAGGCAGCAGAAAGATGAGGTGTAGCTGGAGGAGCAGTGCAAGCAGAAACTCATCAGTGTGAGGATGGCGCACAGGGCCCCAAGCAGCAGAGACAGATTTCCTGTGATGTGGACTTCTGTTCCTGCTCTGTAATTTGTTAAGTGCAAATTTGTATGCTTCAATGCCAAGAGATCTGAGCTTTTTGAACAGGAGGAGTTTGAGAGACAGAGGTTAGAAGGCAGGTCAGACCAGGTCATGGGTAAAATCTGAAGACAAACTGGGATTCAGCAGAGGAGAGTTGGAGAAGGAAGAATGACCAACAGGAAATGAAGCTACAACAATAAACCTTATCCTGAAAAATGCCAGATTGTTTTTCATTCCAGTAGAAATATCTGTCTTGGTTCTCAGGGTAGGACTCCACTTGATGGGATAGTAAAGAAAACAACTAATTCTCTGGGGAAACTGTGACATGCCAGATGTCCCGATGCCGAGTGAAGTGCTGTGCTCTTCCTGCTGAAGTCAGTTTTAAAATACATGAAATTTAGATTGCTTGGACTAAAGATATGGGATGATAGATTACTCCTACAGACCAGAGAAAACCATATGCACTGTCCTGTGCCCCTGAAGTCAGCTACGGCTACAGCCCGGTCCCTGTTGCACCAGCACTTCTGCAGCTCCCTCGGCTGGGTTATGATGTGTGTTGGTCACTTTGGTCAGGTTTCTGCAACTTTCTCCACTGAATGAGAGGTGTGATGGAGAGCAGAGTCTGCTCACAGATGTGAATCATACACCAGCTGGAAACTATCCATATCTGAACTGAAAAGGAAACTACCTGCTAGAGAAGAGGGGTCACGAAACTGAAGAAGAGGGAGAAACCTGCTTGTATTTTCCAGTGCTCCCTTGTGACCAAGGTTTACTCGCTTCATCTCCTGATGTAGGAGGCCTCAGCCTGTGGTCAACTTGGACTGATACTGTTGTAACATATGCTTTTTTTTGAGAATAATAGTTATGTGTTAGCTTGTGTGTAATAGCTATGGCTCACTGAATTTTAACAGTCTCGTCAGCTGGAACACAAAGCCCTTTTAAACCGCACATTCCCCTTGTAAAAACTTTGTTCACAAATGACCTTGTTGCCTCACTCACAGCAGAAAAACACAAGATTCAGCAGTAATGGTTTATTGCACAACAGTGGTTTTGGATGCTGCCTGTCTCAGTACTAAATGTATTCAAAGGTACTAAGACAAAAAGTATCATATCAGAGACATTGATGGCCAGCCATTGATGCTCTTTCCGTGTGTTTTGAGGATTAGCTTTTGATCACTAAGTGCTGAATTAAGGACCAAGGTCAGCATGTGAAGATGTTTGAGTGAATTTAATAATAATTAGGAACAATAATATGTACTTACACCTATGGTAGGAGATCTAACTTGCAGTTCTTTTGAAAGAATGGGAGAAATTGTTCTCTTTCAAATCCTGGTCAAGAGTTTAAGGCTCTGGCAGTTGGCTTTGACTTGAAAAGGTCATTTTACTTCCTGGTAGGTGACAGTCTTTTTTGTCTCAAAAAGATTATCTGGAGGAGAGGGGGAGATGCGACAAGCCTCCATTGCCCATTTGGTTGTTGTCAGCAGCGTAGCATGAGGAAATCTGAGCTTTCAGGCTGACAGATGATTTAACTATCTAGGCTTTAGAAGGAAGGCAGATTGGTTTGCTTTGCCAGCTATCTATATATTAGAAATATAAAACATCATGTGACAGTACGCTTACAGAAATTTGAGTAATTTCTTCTTGCTTGCCAGTCTTCTCTGGTGACTTTAGAGCCTTTGCAGTTGCAGAGTGCCATTGGGAGGATTAAGTCATGATTTGCCAATCTTTGACACAAACTAAAACATATGCAAAGGCTTTTGGGTCTGAGACTTAGAGGGTATCATGCCAGAACATGCCAAAGAAGCTCTAGGAAGATGGAAATGCTTGTGGTTTTATTAAGAAATGTAAGGAATGCGGAGTATTTCACTTCAATAAATGTCAATCTGTAGCTTCCAGCTCACTACTGCTGAGACAATTTCCTCTTACTTGAGCAGAAGTCTGGAAGGGTAACAACCAAGCTAGAAAATGTAGGCTATCAGCCTCTGTAATGAAGTGGAGGAAAATAACATATCGACCTTTTTTTATTTCCAGTAATTCCATCATCTTCGAGATATTGACACAGGAGTAAAAATCCTGGTTAGTAGTGGAAAATAAAGGCACTTAGCCTTTCAGAGGCCAAAGGCTACCCTGAATAACAAGGTAGCACATATTGCCACGGGGTGCTTTCTCCACAGCAAAACAGCAAAATACATAGAAAAGGGCCCAAACTCTGCAAATGCAATTCATAAACAACTTTAGCAGAATAATTGGGGCTAAAATAGTTGGGGGAGAGGGGAAGGGCATGGAGGGAAGAAGGAGAGAGGCAGAGGGATGGCACTGAAGTATCAGATAAGCTGAACTCCTTCCCCGGTGATATTTGCAGCCACAGTGATGAGTACTTTTCCCTGAAAGAGTTGTGTCAACCCAATAAATAATTCATTTGGTCAGGGTGTCCTTCCTCAGCTACTCACTGGAAAGTTTTCTGTATCTGTCATCCATGCCCAGAATGAAGCCCTCTCATCTCTTCTCACTGCTTACCTATTGCTGGCTCCTGCTGGCAAAGCCAAATATCTCCTGTGTGCCTACCTGACCGGTGCTTCAGGACATGCCCCCGTAGTCACCACATGTTGCAGAAGCAGCTGCCCAATGTGAATGCTTGGGGTTTTGGCCTTCACTGCACTCAACTGGAATTTGCAGCTCTGTGGCCAAACAGTACCCAGACAGTGAAGGGCATTTTAGTACCAAATCCACGAACAAATCAATTTACTGCAGTAAGCTACTTAGGGGGCCCATCTGGTAGCTGCTAATTTACAGGCTGGGCCATCTGCCACTATCACAAGCTGGGAAGATGAGAAAAGTTACCCAACATAACCAACAGTTTAGCTTTGTTTTCATTTTTTTTCTCAGTGCTGTGTTTTGTTTCACTGCTAACTGACAGCAACGGCAGTGGTTTCTGTTCTGAAATCCAGATTTCTCAAACCTTGGATAATCTTGTGCGGCTGGGAGATGCTGCCGCTGTGACTCAGCAGTTGTCCCTGGGTATGTTTATGCAGCATTCAAGCTGCTGACAGCAGGATGGTTTGGGAAGCTGTGTTTCTACCCCACGCCTGCATATTTTAGCTTGGTGTGACAGGATATGCGGAAAACGTATTTTAAATGTATGTTATTAAAGCCTTCCTCCTCTTGAGTTGCAGAATGCCTTCTGCTCTAATGGAAACAAAGAAATAAGGCCGTGCGATATGGAGAACAAACCTGTTAAGAGCTGCAGGTTTGTTCTCTGTTTGAGTTGGTTTTGAACATTTGTGGGGAGTGGGAGATGAAGGTAGGTTGCAAGTTCTTCAGTAAAGGTCAGCTCCGAAGAGTGACGTTTCTGCAATCCCTGCAAAATGTGCCATGTCAGTGTTGGGGTCAGCCAAGTACTGCTGGTGCTCAGGGGGCCGTGACAGCCTTAGAGCACAGCTACCCGTGTCTGGAGTAGGACGTGTCCCCTGGCTCCGTGGCATGCTGCCATTGCGTTCCTCAACGAAGGCAGCACTCGCCAGTGTCTTCCTTCAAATGAGAATGCAAACCAGCCACCAGCTTCAGCTGCGGGAGGGTTAGTGCTTCTCTGACGTTGTGCCTGTGCAATCGGAATGCTTAGTTAAGGCCAGTTTCTTTTCTTCTCTTACTGTGTGGCATCCATCTCCGTGAATGCTCATCTGCTCTAGCTGGGCACCCTCCCCTGCATGAGTGAGCTAACGGTTGTTTTTGTTCAAGGTCTATGTGACTAGGTCTTGTCATCTGCTCTTGGCAGATGCCAGCTCTCACAGTGCTTATGACTTGGATACAGTTTTCTGTTTGAAGATGACGTGGTGATGCTGAGCTAAATGTCTTACTGGAGGAGAAAAATGTGATTAGGAAAAGCCTTAGTCTGAATACAGTTTTCCTTTGAGAATATATTTATGCGCCCCTCAAAAAGGGTTAGAATTCAATCCATGCTTGTTTTGTGCTAACGGGATAACGTTCTAGGCTCTGGCAACCTGAGCTGTAGAAGTGGTGGCATATAGGATTTACATATTCTTCAACTGTTAGCTGTACAGATGGTGAAAACCAAATCAGAGCAATAGACCCAACACTGATCTTCTGAAGGTTTGACCCTGAGAACTCCTTTGGGCTTCCCTGGATTAAGACGGCAGGCCGTCCTAAGAGGGGGAAAACTCAGCAACAACAGAGCCCTGCAAAACCAGCTTTCTTGTTGACCAAAGACCCAAAGCCTTTGCTTACTTCATGAGACTAATGGTTTCTACCGGAAGTTTGGGGCTGCAATTTCTTTTTCATCTGAGCATGCTTTTCCTCACTTACTATGATTGAATGTCTTATCCTTAGGGGGCACATTAATTGAATTCTCTATCAGACTCTGCTTTAAGAACTGGGAGGGCCCAGAGGAAAGATTACTAATAGGGGTCCTGTGGCTAATGTGATTAAAAATTATTTGGCTGAGGAAGAGAGAATATTGTTGTTCTCTATTGTATTTCACTGCAAAGAGATAACATTGACGCTGACTACAGAAGCAACAGGTCATACATGTTTAATTTGAACAGCTATAAAAAGAAACTTGCAATAGGGCTGCTCATTGGGAATTTAATAAATAAAAGTTATTACCATAGCTCAGTATCATCCCAAGGATATCTCTTCATGTACTCCCCTTGGAAGCCAAGCTATCGAAAAATTAAGCTAGGAAGTTGTTGCGTTAAGAGCAGATTAGATCTGAAAGGCAGAATTATCTTCATTTTATGATGGAATCGGGGTGCTGAGCACTGATCTGTTTTGTCCTCACAAAGCTCGTACGTCAATGCTGCTGGACAATTTTACAGCTGAGGACTAGAGGCTCAAACGAAATAACCAGCCCGAGGTCACCCTAGGTCTCCTTGCAATGGCTGTGGTGGGTGCTATGCTCATTAAGCTCTCATTATCTCTTGCTACTTCCCTGTTGGAGTCATAATCAACATGATGGCTGTTTGCAATTGGAAAGATCCTTCAGGTGCAGCTATTTGGGTTAAGGCAGCTGTGAAGACACAGGCTCTGCCCCAGCTCTGTCTCGTTCCTCAGAGGGCTATAAATGAGGCTGCAAGGGGGTGTGTTGCAGGAGTAAAAGAGGAATCCATTTGTCCTGATGCCTTGACTTGACTGTCTGGTGTCCTGAGTTATCTTCTGTGCTGTACAGGATTCTGAGGATGGGTTTCATGTGCCTGCTGGTCTAGGATACTCCTGGAGGCCCCCCTCTCCCCAAATTATGCGCTCCCTTGGTGTCTGCTGTTGAGAGAGCTGAAGGACTTCAGGGTTTTGTGATCATCTGCTGAGCCTGCTAGAGGATGCTTTAATGTATCTGATTTAGGCCTGAGTGTGAAGGCAGGCACACATCTCGCTGTAAGGCTACCAAATGTCTTTTAGGGGTTTAGTTTGTTTTATTGAAGTCTGTGGTTTGTTTCTGCCTGCTTTGGTGAGGGATGCATTCCTGGGAGAGGCAGTAAACCTCCTGCAGCGTTTGAACCTGAGGAAATTGGCTGTAGTACCAGGAACTGGGATTTCCTTCTGTGATTCTAAAGCTTTTCCACCTCACTGATTGCATACTGTGAGTATGGCATTGCTAAAGCGATAAAACACCTATTGCAAATAAACTTCAGCTATTTAATCAGTGCACTAAGGCAAAGAGTTAGATGTAGATACCATAGTGGGCTTTCTATCTCTGAGAGTAAGTTGAATAGCTACCCAGGGCTTATAGCTTTGCAAGGTGTATAATTTGGAAATGATGGTGAGAGGGGCTCTAGCCTCGTTTGTCTGGCTTGTGCTGGTATTTTGCAATGAGAATGGACCAACATAACTTCCTTACGTTTCTTGCCCTGGAAGATACTCCACAGGCAAACAAGGTTCCTTTGTCTTTTACATAAGTTAATCGCTGACTTATTTTTGTGGTTATTGCTCTCCTTATTGTAAGTTTCTTTGCTCAGTAAAATTTCAGGTGTGTCTTTAACCTATGTTTCTCACCTATGATTTCAAAGCTTTGTTTCCTTGTGTTACAGAAGGAGTAAAATCTTGCGATGTGCCAAGTATCCCAAAAAGTCTTGAGCAGAGATGTATGCAATGTATGCCAGTGCAACTTCAGCTTCTGAACTGTAGGGAGCTTTACACAGTGAGAGGAAAGATCCTTGCAAGAGGTGGAATGTACCTTTAAAAACTCACTGCTTAAGCAAACAAGTAATTTCCTCATGCTGAGCCTAGACCCTTCTGTTTGCTTTTTGAGAATTATTGCTGCTTGTCTGTCAGTATCCTGGTGTGTTTCAGCTTGTAAAATAATCATGTAGAAACCCAAGGGATTTGCAGTGCAGTAATCTAAGAAGCTAATAGCGCGTTGTCTGTTGTCTCTGAGTTGGCCATCAGCTTCTTACTTTGCTGATTCCTTTGCAGAGAAGAGCAAAGTGTCAGCTGGCAATGCTTGGCTTTCAGGTACCTGGCATGTCCCATTACAGCTTTCCTTTTTCTTGCCTTAGGAAGAAAAGTTAGTCTAACAAAGAATTCCAGGATCTTCCTGAGCCCAAAAATTTGGTTGGACTTGAACTGTTGTGAATAGAAATGGACACCTTGGTGGCAAGAATGTGTACAGTGGTTAATGGATAATCTTTCTGGTGAACAAATGGATGAAACTGAAGTACTAGACACAGACCCAGGTGAGAAGTGCTTTGGCTGTCCAAAGGCTGGATTAGCAGTGAAGTGCTGTGCTTCATTTAAGATGAAGCAAGGGGAAATTGAAAAGTCCAACTGAGTATGGAAGAGAAAGCTGATGTGAGACTGGGGGTGGTACATAAACTGGGAAAACCTGGAGTCATGTTGTATCTTCTTCTGTTGGTACTGGTTTCAGCTGCCAGTATGAGAGGTGGGGCATTAAGCACTGGCAGTTGTTTGTTTTCTCTGAACTGGACACTTTGAGACATTCAGTGTGCCTGTCTAGAGGCTGTAGGATTGCTACACTCTTACTGCTACCTGTAGTAGATCTGGGCAGGAATGAGTAGGGAACAGGGCACAGCTGAAGACAGCCAAGTTGGGAAGCTGTCACTGCATTTGTCAGATCATCTATTTTGAAATAAACCTGTTATAACGTGGTTCTTCCGGACTCCTATAAACAGCCATCTCTTGAGGGGTGCTAAGCTTTTGTTTTTCAGCGGCTATGAGCAAGGAGCTCTTAACTGCAGTTATGTTTAGATACTGGAGAACAGTTCTCCCGAGCTTAGTAGCAAAATGTCATACATAGCAAAATTACTTATTTTAGGGTTGGGGTGAATCTTGGAGTGAGATAGTTCAACCTAATCAAGCAATGCAGTGTTTTAATGAAGCTGCCAAGAAAGAAGTAAGGACTGTAGTTGTGTTTATTGTTGCATAGAATAAAATCTTTCAAGCTCTGTGCAGAAACGGGGGCAGAACAGAAGGCAAGCTGACTTTATTTCTAGGCTCAACAACATATCAAGACTTTGAGACTGGCTGTTGCTTGCGGCGTGAGAAAAGGGGATCATTCCATCCTTTCCCAGCAAAACAACACTGTCGTGCCCCTAAAGGGACAGTTTTAGCTCTAGTGTATTTGAGCTCAGCTGGTATGAATTTGAGTGGGAATCTCTGTATAGAGGTTTAACGTGGTC